TGTTGAACCTCGGGAGTTTGAAGAGCAGCAAAAAGTTTGGATAGCAAACAAAAGGACAGCAGGGTGGCATGAAGGAAAAGTGTTACAACGAAAAAGCGCAATATTATACGATGTGGAATCAGAGGGGATCGTTAAAAACAAGCATGCAGATCAATTGAGGGATGCACATACACAAGAGAAGGAAATACCCGTTACGTTAACCGAAGAAGTGGAAAAGGCAGAACATGAGAATACAACTCTTGAAAAAAGAGTTTCGAAACCCCCATTACGTTATCACGATGAATTCAATTTATAGTGGGGAGAACTGTAATATAAATTGAATTTAAATTGAATATAATATTAACTTTTCGTTTGTAAATTATATAACCTTCAGGATTGAATTCATGATATATATATACGTGATATTTTGTATTAAATTTACTTTTACTTACTTTTATTTAATTAAACACTTCATTTTGTATAAACACGGCACCAATTTCAAAGTTTCAATGCACAGAAACGTTTAACTTAGCAGTTCTTATTATTTCAAAACGCAAAGTCTTTATTTTTTTTTACCTTTTTTTTTATTAATTTCACAACAAGGATTAATATCTCGTCTTTATTTTTTTTAAAGAAATAAGGATTTTCCAAAAAAAACAATATATAAAAAAAAATATAATTATAATTATAATAATAATGAATTTCCACTTTTTTTTTAGTTTATATATGATTATTTTTTACTTTATAAATATTAAATTATTTTTACATAATAAATATTAAAAATATTTATATAATAATGTTCATGATGACTGCGCGAAACTTTAAAAAAAATATTTAAAATAAAATTCCAAACAAAAAAAAATATTTCATGACTCACACAAAAAAAATTATTTAATATTAATAAATAAAACTATTTATAACAATATATATTCGATTTAACGTAATTTAATCGATCCGGCTAGCCCTGAATCTACTTACACTAAAAATAATTGTAAATAGTGGCTAGTTATATTTAAAAAAATAAAACTATTAACTGTAACTTGTTATATTTTCCCAAATTTAATTATTAACTTAACTAGTTGCATTACATTGCCAAAGTAACTTATTTTATTTTGTACTTATCTTTAAAAATTAATTTCGTAAAATTCCTTACAAATCATGTCAAAATCTTATTCTACCATTAATTCATCTAATAATCGAAAAACCTCGCTTATAAAAGGTAATTCAATATTTAAAATTATGTAAAATACTATAACTTTTTTTCCTATGACTATATTCATATTTAAGTAAAATTCTTTATAAAATAATTCTCTATAAAATCATTCTCTGTAAAATCATTCTCTATAAAATTATTCTCTATAAAATCATTCTCTATTAAATCATTCTCTATAAAATCATTCTCTATAAAATCATTCTCTATAAAATCATTCTCTATAAAATAATTCTCTGTAAAATCATTCTCTATATACGACATTCTCTATAAATGACATTCTCTATAATTGTTTTCTCTGTAATGGTTTCTCTGTAATGGTTTCTCTGTAATGGTTTCCCTGTAATGGTTTCTCTGTAATGGTTTCTCTGTAATGGTTTCTCTGTAATGGTTTCTCTGTAATGGTTTCTCTGTAATGGTTTCTCTGTAATGGTTTCTCTGTAATGGTTTCTCTGTAATGGTTTCTCTGTAATGGTTTCTCTGTAATGGTTTCTCTGTAATGGTTTCTCTGTAATGGTTTCTCTGTAATGGTTTCTCTGTAATGGTTTCTCTGTAATGGTTTCTCTGTAATGGTTTCTCTGTAATGGTTTCTCTGTAATGGTTTCTCTGTAATGGTTTCTCTGTAATGGTTTCTCTGTAATGGTTTCTCTGTAATGGTTTCTCTGTAATGGTTTCTCTGTAATGGTTTCTCTGTAATGGTTTCTCTGTAATGGTTTCTCTGTAATGGTTTCTCTGTAATGGTTTCTCTGTAATGGTTTCTCTGTAATGGTTTCTCTGTAATGGTTTCTCTGTAATGGTTTCTCTGTAATGGTTTCTCTGTAATGACGCGATACCAGAATCTTTGGGGGTTAGAATATTTTTATCAACACAATTTGTCAATATGGGTAGTGATGTTAATAGACTAAATTTAGTCGAACATATGACTTAATAATTATTAAAAAATATTTTAATATGGATTTTGCGGCTATTCACGATATGAAATATCTAAAAGTTTTATAATACAAATAATGGAAAAAGAAAATAGAAAAGAAATATAATATCTAAAAAAAATAAGGGATAGGTTTTATTTTTTTTATTTTATATTTTTATTTATAGTTATGATACACATATTTTATTGTTTTTGTTTTATTTATACTATATATAAAAATTTAATTATTAAAATGGAATATACAAAATAAAAAATTAATTTTCTATTTTATTTTAATAATTTTGCGATTTTTAAAAAAATATGAAACAAAATAATAAGGAAGAAAAAGAAAAATAAAGATAAATAATATTTTTTTTCTTTCATCAAGACAGGGCAGGTAAGGTAGAAAAGAAATAATATATATATGTCTGGGCATATAAATAATAAATTATAATTATTTTCACACTTTATACTACTTATGTATTTTTATATATTTATTTTGTTTTAAATTTTTATTATGTATATTACATTTTAATAATTCTATTTACAAATGTATGAATGTTATGAGTATGACCTTGGAATAAATATATTAAAAATACAGCTAGATTGATATCTTGTTTGAGGAGATTATTATACTCTCTATTTTTTATGATTCTCTAAAATACTCCAAAATATAAGGTCTAAAAAAGCATTGGAGAAATGGATATAATTTTTTCGTAATAATAATCTCCACCCTTTAAATTTGGAAACATGTATTCTCTTTGAAAAATATTACAAAATGTTACTGACTTTGTTATTATATATATATAAAAATTATTTAAGAATTAATGGGAGATGGGGGTAACTAAGCCACATACTCAATTTTCATTATTCTCCCGAAAAATAAAATTTTTCACCAAACTTCTCCCGTAATTGATCGTACATACCCTATTTTCTTTAAAAGTTAAAACAAATCTTTTCCTCTTCAGTATTAGTATCTTATATTCATTAAAAATTTATATTCTTTTAAATTATCAAATGTGATTTATTATAAGTTGTTTTGTTTATCCCATTCAAATTAGTTTTTCTGAAATTCGCACTTTTAATTTAGCATATTTAGGTATTTTATTTTCCAAATTTTAACAACTTATTTTTAAATAATAAATCATTTATTGTTATTATAATTATATAGCATACATATCAAATCCAAATAAGAAAATAAATAAATTCTATTTTCAATAGTTTATCAATTGGTGTGATTAGTACCCGATTTTTACCGATTTGTACCGTTTTCAGTTCAATTTGTACCATCACCGTTTTTGAGATATTCAAAGAACAAAATGGGGGGCCAACTTCACGACAGCCCCCCAACTTTTGAACTTAAAAATAAAAAGTGAATAGGTCGATAGAGAATGATTTGTACCGATTTGTACCGTTTTCAGTTCGATTTGTACCATCACCGTTTTCCAGCTATTGACCGTTGAAAATATGGCGCCAAAAATAAAAATACTCAACATTTATTTTTTAAAAAATTTTTTTAACGTACAACGGTAGAGAATTTTTTTCTCTTCCTAATGATGCCTCAAATTAAGCTCTATCTTCATTATTTATTTCGGAAATCAAATTTTAAACCTTATATTATAGCGTGAAGTTAGCACCCCCCCCTCCCCCCCCCCCCGATATTCAAAATTTGAGATTTTTCAAATTTTTAAAACGGGATTGATTTGTACCCGATTTGTACCGATTTTTACCGTTTCAAACTCGATTTGTACCATTACCGTTTTCTAGCTATTGACCGTTAAAGATATGGCGCCATAAATAAAAAACACTCAACATTTATTTTTTTAAAAAAATTTTTAACTTACAACGGTAGAGAATTTTTTTCTCTTCCTAATGATGCCTCAAATTAAGCTTTATCTTCATAATTTATTTCGGAAATCAAATTTTAAACCTTATATTATAGCGTGAAGTTAGCCCCCCCCCCCACGATATTCAAAATTTGAAAATTTTCAAATTTTTAAAACGGGATTGATTTGTACCCGATTTGTACCGTTTTCAGTTCGATTTGTACCATCACCGTTTTCCAGCTATTGACCGTTAAAGATATGGCGTCAAAAATAAAAAACACTCAACATTTATTTTTTAAAAAATTTTTTAACGTACAACGGTAGAGAATTTTTTTCTCTTCCTAATAATGCCTCAAATTAAGCTCTATCTTCATTATTTATTTCGGAAATCAAATTTTAAACCTTATATTATAGCGTGAAGTTAGCCCCCCCCCCCACGATATTCAAAATTTGACATTTTTCAAATTTATAAAACGGGATTGATTTGTACCCGATTTGTACCGTTTCAGACTCGATTTGTACTATTACCGTTTTCCAGCTATTGACCGTTAAAGATATGGCGCCAAAAATAAAAAACACTCAACATTTATTTTTTTAAAAAATTTTTAACGTACAACGGTAGAGAATTTTTTTCTCTTCCTAATGATGCCTCAAATTAAGCTCTATCTTCATTATTTATTTCGCAAATCAAATTTTAAACCTTATATTATAGCGTGAAGTTAGCCCCCCCCCCCCCGATATTCAAAATTTGAGATTTTTCAAATTTTAAAACGGGATTGATTTGTACCCGATTTGTACCGATTTGTACTGTTTCAAACTCGATTTGTACCATTACCGTTTTCCAGCTATTGACCGTTAAAGATATGGCGCCAAAAATAAAACACTCAAAATTTAGGATTTTGTACAAATATAAAGCAGTGTGATATCTATCTACAGAAAAAAAATTTTGAAAAAAAAAATACCTTTTTTTTCTATGGCCATATCCGGTTTTACACATCCAGTTTTCGATATTAATAAAATGTCCATCATATTTATTTTTATGTCATTTTAAATAACTTTTATTAAGCTACAAAATAAAATTTAAATTATTTTTCTAACATAATTATTTCTCGAGATATTTGAAACTTTGTGAATAAATATATCATCTGATATATTCGCACTATCAATGAAAGCACCTAAATAATAAATATATTATAAATTAAAATGTTATATTTTACATTCATGTATCTCCCCTGATATTTCATTTAATATATCATTAACATCTCTAGGAGTACATTCCTCTTTATCTAAGGAGGATTTCTGTGTCCTGGGTGTTATGGTTTCTACCAGGAATAGCATATCCTGATAGAATGGCCATGAGATGCAATGGCCAGCCTCTGACCCACTTTTCAGTCTTGTAAGTTTTTGCCTCTTTTATAAAACAATCCCTGAGATTTTTCCAGATTGTTTTGAGATGAACCTAAAAAGGTTTATAATTATAATATATATGCAAAATTATTAGTTGGCATATTATACTGATGGGCTAATAATTCCCAAATATTATTTTTGTATATAATATTTTTATATAAATTATTACGTTTATTATATAAACATTCTTATTCTTTAATTGAAAGAATAAATGCAGTTTTATCTATTTTCTATAAAAAAATTTAAATCATTCATTTAACCTGATGATTTATGATTTTACATTATCAAAAAATGTAGCCATTGAAGAATTGGGGGGAGGGGGGGGGGGGGGTTTAAAAATTATTTTTAAATTTTGAATAAATTAGCGATAAATCTAAAATTTTGAGTTAAATTCACCAATATGTGTATTTAACGAAGCAATATTTCAAAATCACGCGATAAATACAAAATCAAAAAATCGCAGCGATTTGCTTTAGCGATTCAAATCGCCGATCGGTAACTATGAATGCGATATGATATTTACTGTATTTTGTATTTATCGCGGTGAAATCGCAATAGCGCCACTATGAATTCAGGGTTATAGAGAAACTTTTATCGCGAATCCACATTAGCGAATACTTTTTCGCGAAGACAATATAGTGAAACAAATATCGCGAATTTTTTATAGCGAAAGTCTTATCGCGAAACCTAGTGTTGTTAAACGACTCAGCCGAGTAGGCTTAACTACAACTCAAGTTGAGTTTTTAGTCAAAAAAATACTCAAGTCGATTTTTGAGTCGATTAGTCGACTCATTTTTACGACTCGAGTTATTAACTTGAGTCATGAACTCAAGTCGCGACTCGAGTTTTGAACTTGAGTCATAAACTCAATAAATAGTTTATTCATGAAACTCGATTGCTTACATAAGTGTTATTTATTGGTTAATTGTGTAAAACCCAGATCCGTGACTTAAGTCTAAAAATCGACTAAACTAGCAATGAGACAAACCACAAGCACAACCAATATATTTTAACTTGTTTTTTCTTGACCTTATTAAGGTATATAAATATATGATTATTAGAGGCATCAATCGATAGCTAATTAGAACCATTGAATAATTAGCAAACCAAGCGCTACCTCTCTATGGCAATTACTATATAGGTTAGGATTATTATTGGCACCAAATATTGATATGATGGATTGGTATCAAATAAGTCTAGTTCTACCTAAATATGGTGTATATACGTTTGACTTGGAAGCGGGGGTAAAAAATAAATATGGTTACTCGTATAAAATTTTTGACCCTCGTATTTCTCTTAATGGGCATGTTTAGATCTTAACATTTTTTTTTAACTTTTGTACAATGTTAAGAGAAAAATATCTGCTAGATTGCCAAATTAGGATTTAATTGGGTTCAGGAATTTTAAACTCTATTTAACGGAAATTTTGTTAACATGAACTTAATCGAAATTCCAAAAATTAATATCCTTTGTTTGGAAATAAAGGATTCCTAATCTAAAAATTCTACAATTATATTTTTAAAAAAAGATTAAAGGAAAATAATACATTTAAATTAATTCAATTTATTAGTCACAAATCAAATCACATTATTGTTTCTTATTTTAATTTTGAATGAATTTAGCTCCTATCTGGTTGTATATTTTTTAAAATTATTATTTTAGAAAATAAATAACCAATCCCTCCTCTTGTTTATTTCTCCTAAAATAAATCTATCTATTTTAAAATAAATTTTGGGCTATTTTAAAAAGTTATAAAAAAGTAAAATTTTCTTGATTTTTCACCATTAACAATATTTATTTCTTTTAAAGAAAAATTTTTTTATTTGTAAATAAATTTTTGATAATATTTTTTTTTGATAAATATTTTTATTCTTATTTTTGAAAATAAGTGCAAATGATTTTGTTAAATATAAAAGAATACATACTCAATATATAAAATCAATTACAGATAAAATTATTGCAATTATACAAAATTGCACAGAAAATAAAATTGCTGCACTTATAAAATCAGGCACCGATCATATTGTAAATATATATAAATAAGATTTAAAAGAATTAAGATAATATATAATTTTTACGTTAATAAATCTCTCATTAACTTTGAGCAAATAAACAAGAATATCTTTTAGTTCAACATGCGCTAATACTTCTCGTTCAACTGACATAATTAAAAACGCTCTAATTTTTTTTGGTCTATATTAGCTCAGCCTATTTTTTATAATTTTTTAATTTACTAAATGTTCTCTCGCAATTAACCTCCGCAAATGACAAAATTAAAATGTATTCATATGCCAATATAAATTAGTATATGCACTTTTGTGCATATTATAACTTTAAATGATTTCATACACGCCTATTAAACACTTATTACATTTATTATCAAATCATATTGTAATATTCCATCTTCTACATTTAACTCCTCACTTGTACATATGATATCTTCGTCCATTCTGCTATTAAATCTTCGTTACGTAATTTAACGCTCAATATATTTGCGAATTGTATCAGTTTTTCCAAGGCATTTTCAGAAATACCTTTACTATTTATTTCATCAAAATGGCTCATTTAAATTTTTTTAAGCGGTCACTCGCACTTTTTAAAATAAATAGTCACCTTTCTATTGTACATCTTTATTGAAATTTTAATTTAACATGTTTACAATATCTATTTTTACCCATTTGCTTTAAAAAAATTCAAAAATAACGATTATGACAATTGTCACTTTTTTATGGTACATCATCACTGTATAAAAAAATAACGATGACAAATGCCATTCCATTAATAATAGTAAGTCAGAATATTATAATTAAAAGAAGCTTTAAATAATTTACCCGCCCATAATTTTAATATCTACTAAATGTTGTTATTATTATTGGAGTCAACCCTAAAAGCCTTTTGGTCCAAAAAATGATCTGGATATTGGATCAGATAAAAAAAAAGCAACCCAAACCTTAGATAGTCCTTTATAAAACGACCCATATTATAGATCGGATCAATAAAATGACCACAACTTTGGGTTGAAGTCGTAAAAAACGACCCGATGTTTGAGTCTGAGTCGAAAACGACCCAACTATTTGTCTTCTAGTCGACTTAAGTATATAACTCGTATAATGACTTAAATTGGAAGTCTAAAAACAAATGTTTTATTAATTAATACTAACTAATTTAAAATCTTCGTCCTTTAGTCGACTCTAGTTCATAGAATTATTCGTCCTTTAGTCGACTTGAGTTTATAGAACTATTCGTCCTCTAGTCGACAGAATATATTTCGTATTCACGACTCAAGTTGAAAGTCTAAAGTTTAAAATAAAAAAACAGAACAAATGTTTTATTAATTAATAATAACTAATCAAGTTCATAGAACTATTCGTCCTCTAGTCGACTTAGTCCATTGAACTATTCGTCCTCTAGTCGACTCAAGTTTAAAGACTTGAGTTCACGATTTGAGTTGGTCGACTTATTCGACTAATGACTAGAGACTCTACTTTTTAACAACACTACTCATACGTTTATAATGGCAATAAAAATACCTGAAGATATTTTGGCCTAGTTTTTATAGTATTTTTATAATTATTTAACTTTGAATTAATAAAATTTGCATTTTATATTTTTTTGTTAAAAATATTATAATTAAAGCAACGTTTTTCATGAGCAGTTCAGTTATATAAGTAAACTTCTTTTTTCCGGTCATGGGATACTTTATTTGAATATTTACTGATATGATATGATGTCAAAATATATTAGCAAATAATTAATTTTTTAAAAAGGTAAAATAAATAAAGGTGAAAAATTGTAGAAATATAATTTACGGGAAAGGATAGGGGATAAAAAAAATGAAGCTTGGAAAATGGAAGTTTATTCAATGGAAGAGATGAAGCTTAGATAGTTGGAACGAATTATATCAAATATTTTCCCCTCCACCAGGTTAAACTCATATTTACCATATTAAGACAGAACTAGACTTATTTGATACATAAAATTAATCCTGCCCCCTCCCCCCTTAGTAATAGCTTCACCCATCGAGAGGTAGCGAGTTTTTTAAATTATCTATCAATTGATACCTCTAATAATCATATATTTATATACTTTAATAAGTTTAATAAGAAATATTAAAATATATGTGTCTGTGCTAGGGGTTCATGCCATAGCTGATTTAGTCGATTTTAAAGCCAAATGTCAGGTCTGGGTATTAAACATCCAACAATTAATAACACTAATATAAGCAATCGAGTTTCATAAAATTTAAGTTAACCTGTTGTGTTCACGACTCAAATTCATAACTCGAGCCGCGACTCAAGGTGATATCACGACTCAACTTCATAACTCGAGTCGTGACTGAGTTATAGCGACTTCGACTCGGAGTCGAGAGAACTCGACTATTTAACAACACTAGAAACCTTTAAAGCGAATACATTAGAGCGAAAATTTTATAGCGAAAACTATTTCACGAAATTTAACGCGGCCTATTATTATTTTTTATTTTTATTAAAATAATTTATTTTATATACATTTAATGTTAATATTTTATTAATAAATATTATATAAATACTTTAATATTTACTTTATGAACTTATTATTATTTATGATATATTATAATTTAGAAACATATTAAAATATATCATTATAATAATAAGATATTATTACATTATTAGTAAAATAATTTAATAAAATAAAATAACATAGATTAATTATACATTAGCATAAATTTAGCGCTAACATTATAATAATATGCAACAAAATGGCCAAAGTCTATACTATGCATAGGATGTTCAATTACGGCGTTTCGGATATTGAAAAAATAAAGCTGAGATAATTGTATTTTACTATGTTTATGGCTAATCGTTGGCGTAGGTAAAATCCCTCGTTGGGATCCTCTGTCCTAGCAGAGATCCGTTTTCCTAGCTATTTAAAGAAGTCTCGGGCATGAGAGCCGAACGAAGTTAAGGTAGTGGCGATTGATGGTAGGAATGTATAATTGACGGGATGGCGAATATTTAGCTAATTTATTCGCCTCGGCATCTAGTATGGCATCTCTATTTATATTGGAAGGGGCAAGAGGATCGATGCATGAGAAATATCAAGTTAGGAATTCCCCCCTCTTCCAAGGGATTATAGTCGAACTATTGGGCCGCTTACCATCTGAATTGTAAAGGCCAGTAGGTTCGAGGATTGATGGGATGCTGGCGGATTTTAAGGCCCTGGCAATGGTATCATTGCATTTTGAATGCCTAATGAATCTGCCTTTACAGCGCTTGCAGTGTAGAGAGTGACGGTTTTTGGAGTTGACCGACGTTTGACAGAGGATACAGTTAAAGGTATTACCATATCGCAATTCAGTCTAAGACCGATGGCGTGACGTAACTCATCATTGCTTAGGAGCTGGTCAAGGTTTCGGGATGGGAAGGCTTCAAGAAATTCGTATCCACTACCTTCGGAAATGGAGAAGAGTAGAGAATGGTCCTCTGGTTGGCTCCTCGATTTAAGGAATGCAACGGAGTTGCCAACTAGAGGTTTATCCCAATCCTTCTGTAATGCCGACGATGGAGGATCGACTAATGAGAGGGACTTCCATAGCTCAATTGCCTGTTGGAGTAAGGGGTCAGGATGTTTTGTTAGCGTTTGAATGATGGGCTCGCAGGACAAGCGAGAGGATATGAACGCACTAACAGAAACTAGGGAAGGTTACCTTATACCAATACCGCCGGATTTGGTTGGTAAGGTAGCCTGTAGGCATGATAACTCCCCAAATTTAAGATTGAGTATATCTTCTGTTAGGCGTTTAATCTCCAGTTCATGTGAAGCGAGGTTGACGTCATATTGAAAGATCCGAGACGCTCGAAGTGTATATAAAATTCTTGGAATTAAAAGGTAGTTCTTTAATAAGAAGAAAGCTTGGTGAGCTGTGAGGCGAGATAGTGTATCTCTCATATCTCTCGTAGAATATCGGCAAAGAACTTGGTAAAGGACTCGTCTTTACCTACTGGAGATCCGAGATGTGTTAAAACGTTCAATGGTGTATGATTGAACATAGTATCGTGGTTAAGGTCAATGATTCCAAGAGGACAATATTCGCTTTTGTCTTGATTAACTCGAAGTCCCAAACTTTTCTCGCTGGATTTTATTATTTGGATTGCCTTCGTGACTTCAGTCGGTGGGCCGCCTAGTATGCCATTGTCGATATACCAGTTATGGAGATTTAGTTGGGTCAGGGATTTTTTGCTGGTAGGATCAGGAACTTGTAAGGTAATAAAGGCAAATGACAGGGTGTCTAGCCAGTGTCTTACAGAAGAATAATTATTTAACAAGGAAGTCAAGTTTTTTGACAGGTGTCTCGCAACTTGAAGCCTTGCTCGTTTAGGTATTCGTGAAATTTCAAATGGTTTTGGTGTCGTTAGAAATATTTCTACATTTGAGTCGGCTGGGTCAAACGTCGAAGCATTTGTGACAGTTAAGGTAGGGATTATTGGGTGAGTGAGAACATCAGTCAATGATGTGGGAATGGTGACTATGGGTTGTTTAGTTGTGAGGGCAAGGGCAGAGAAGACATTAAGGGTTCTAGGAATTGCTGGTGATAAGATGGGTAGCCCAGATTGAGGACACTTTATTTTATGGTTACTATGAGATGGCAATAGCCCCAATTTGGTTACTTTAATAAGTTTATTGCATAATGGGCAGTTGCATTTGGTAGGTGCTGTGCTGAGATCTGGTAGGCTCATGGATTAGGAATTTTTTTCATATTTAAGGTAAAGGTGAATATCATTATTGTTAAAAATCACAGATGTTATGGATAAATCTATGTATTGTTCTGTAAATTAAAATTCATATAAGTAGAGTGTGAAGAGATTTTTGTTGACAATTGTCATAAATTATATAATCTATTTACTAATAAATTTAAAATTTTCTTTCTGGAATGATTTTATAATTTTCATTGTCCATCTTTAAATCAGTTTATTATATGTGATCATGATATGTAAGTTTTGATTGCAAAGATGGTTTTACAATGGGGTAATTTATCTATATCATTAGTAATGGCATTATTGTGTTGTGGGAATTGAGATGAAGAGAAAGAAATACTAATGGTGAGTGGAACCAGAGTGTGTATGTATACTTGAACACCAAGATGCAATATAGTGGTATAATATGCCTCAAGGAGGGAAAACCTTTAAGGTTAAAATTCACGAATATGTTTATGGCAAAATTTATATATTGTTCTGTAAATTAAAGTTCAAAATTCATAAAAGTAGGATATGATGAAATTTTTGCTGACAAATGCCATTAATTATATAATCCATTTACTGATAAATTTAAATTTTTCTATCTGGAATATTTCTATAATTTTTATTTTCTATCTTCAAATCAGTTTATTATATGTGATCATGATATAAAATCTTTGATTGCAAAAAAAAAGGTTTCATAAAGGGGTAATTGATCTATATTATTAGTGATAGTATTATTGTATTGTGGGAATTATGATGAAGAAGGAGAAATGCTGATGGTGAGTGGAACTAGAGTGTGTATACTAAATATATAATAATGAGATTTTTATTGCATCTCATCTTCAGGTTTGCATAGTTAAACTAGTTGTTCTTATTGTATTCTCAATTCATACAGCTGTAAAACCGACCCCCCCCCCCAAAAAAAAAAAATATTTTATTTATCAACAAATAAACATATGATATGATTTATATTTTTTATTTATATTATAATATTTTGAAATGAAATGAAATAAGATTATTATAATATGAAAATGGATTTCTTTTATTTGATGTTTTTCTAATAAAAAAAAATGATATGCTACTATTGTAATATTATTTTTGTTACAATTTATTAGTGATTTTCACGATCAAAATTTTAAAAAAATATTTTTGAAGTTCAAAAAGATTTTTGAATATATTTTGATAAAAATTTTAAATCTTCTTTGTAAATAAATCTTTTTTAAGAATTCTTTTACAATTTTTTAGGTGAAATATTTTATAGTTTTTTTTTATAATTTATGTAAAATTATCTATTTTTTAAGTATATTAAAAGAGATGGGTTTTCTAAATAATTTTTTTTAAATAATTTTAATTTTTTTATTTAACTTATTTATGTTGTTTTATATGGTCTTTTTAAGAAAATAATTGAATCTGACAATTTTTATATTCGTTATTGAAGAAGTTCCTTGGAAAAATGACAATTATCATAATCGGTGTTTATTAATTTTTTACGGTAAAATATGTATTTTTAACATGTTAAATAAAAATTTCAATTAAGATACACCATATAAAAGTGACAATTATCATAATCGTTATTTTTAAAGTTTTTTAAATTTTTTTGATGCAAATATGTAAAAATATAGATTGTAAACTTGTTAAATTAAAATTTCTTGAAGATGTACCATGGAAAAGTGACAAATGGGCCAAAATAAGTATTGATCATAACATGTTTAAATAAAACTTCAGTGAGGATGTACCCAAGATAGGTGACAATTGTCATAATCGTTATTTTTAAAGTTTTTGGAATTTTCTTGATGCGAATGGGTAAAAATATAAATTGCTAACATGTTTAAATAAAATTTCAGTGAAGATGTACCCTAGATAAGTGACAATTAGCATAATCGTTGTTTTTAAAGTTTTTTAAAATTTTTTGATGCAAATGGGGATTGTAAAAATGTCAAATTAAAATTTTATGAAGATGTACCATATAAAATTGACAATTGTCATAATCTTTATTTTTAAAAGTTTTTTCTAAAATAATATTTCAATGAAGATGTACCCTAGATAAGTGACAATAGTCATAATCGTTATTTTTAAAGTTTTTGAATTTTTTTGACGCAAATGGACAAAAATATAAATTGTTAACATGTTAAAATAAAATTTCAGTCGAAACAAAAAAAACAAATAGATATTTTTATGCTTACAATCGTTGTTCCTTTTATCCTGCTAAAAATTTGATAAAAATATGCTAAGTGATTATTAAAGATAGTTGTAACCTATGTTAAATTCTAAACTTTTAAGATATGGATTCACAATCTTATTCCTTTAATTAATAACTTTTAATTCCACATTATAAAAAAGTATAACCCTGCATTCAAAGTTAGCAAATATCTTTGTATACTCGTGGCAAAATAGTGCTGAGTCTGATTTTAGGGTAGCATTTTTTATAAAAAGAACTTAAATCCTATAAATTTAATATTAAGATTATATTTTTATAAACATATGGTTAAAATGGATTACAATCTATATTTTAACCCATTTGCATCAAAAAAATTCAAAAAGTAACGATTATAACAATTGTCACTTTTCAATGGTACATCTTCATAAAATTTTAATTTAGCATGCTCACAATCTATATTTTTACCCATTTGCAACAAAAAAATTCAAAAAACTTTATTAACAACGATATGACAAATGTAACTTATCTATGGTACATCTTCACTGAAATTTTATTTTAACATGTAAGCAATTTATATTTTTGCCCATTTGCGTCTAAAAAATTCAAAAAATTTAAAAAATAACGATTATGACAATTGTCACTTTTCTATGGTGCATCCTTATGAAATTTTAATTTAACAGTTTACAATCTATATTTTTACCAATTTGCGTCAGGGGCGTCGCTAGCCTTCACAATCTCAGGGGGAAAAAAATTTAATGGGGGGCGAAGCCCCCCATACTCCCCACTTTGCCGGCCTTCGGACGGGTTTTATATTAATATAAAATACTTTTTTAAAATTTGTTAACTCTGAACAATCATTCTGATTTTCATATTTTGTTATTTATTATATTATGCATACAAAATAAACTGGTATATAAAAAATCACATAATGCAATAATATAATTCTTAGAAACTTACATTGACAAAAGGTTATCAAACTAGTATAATTCTCTGTAACCATTTTAGACAATTTTTATAGAATGGACTAATAAGGAAAAATTTATAGGCCTAAACCAAATTAATAATTTTTGTAGGAGAGAGTATAAACGACCAATCTAAATCATAAAACTATTTGGTGGTTAGAGCTTCCTCTTAGATGAAATTATGGAAGCTAGATAAGTAATTGTGAGATATTAAATTTCTAAAAGATTATCTTCCATTTTAAATGGTATATAAACGACTACACAGTTGACCATTATTGTTTATCTAAAATATACAATTATTATATGCTCTCAGCTGTAATAGTAATAATCTTAAATTACATAGCAACACAAATAATAGATGCTGGTTAATTTGCAGTAATATCCATGACACTTACGATGTAAACTAATATCATTTATTATGTTGGATAAATTGATAAAATCACTAAAAATCTTTGGAAGAAATAATTATGCAAATATATTGAAGTCTGGAGTTATTTACACGGCAATGCCATATTAGAAATGAAACATTTTCTAACTATAAAATAAGGACCAGAATGATATGATGAAACAATTAAAATTTTATATATTGTCGCACCACCTTGGTATATTATATCTTAAAATAATAGTAGTTTGTAATAATATCAAAAATATACTTGTATTAAAAATTTAACTCAAGACTGTTTTTCGAAAAAGAAAAATATATATTTTCTAAAAACACGTAAAAAAAGAGAAGAAAAGATATCAAATTTATTACATCTATTGCAGGATGAATAATAAAATGTTTAATTTTAAAACTCATATATAACTAAATAGATGGCGTTAAATACTTGAATGCAATTTGTTATTATATTTATTATCAAAACCATTTATTAGTAAAATTTATAATAATATTAACTATATTATATTAAATAACTGTCAAATACGTCTATAAAAGTGGCATTATATCTAATATTTTATAAACAACTGTATATAGTAGAGGATTAAAAACTATATGTCTACTATAAAGAAATCTCTTATACTTATTTGGACCTTGAAAATATTTTTAAGATATAATAATAAAATTTCAAAATAAATATACAGTTGATTAATCATTTTGAACTCGGCTAATTACAATATTAAATTTGTTAATTTTCAAATAATATATGATTAAATTTATTTAATTAGGGTTAAATAATAATTTAAATAATAAAAGTCAATTAAATTTCAACTGTTAAAGCTAAATTAATATTTAGTGAGTTATTGATATTATATTTTTAATACAGAATTTGATTGCAATCTGACATAGTGAAAATATAATTTATATGTATTAATCTAATCTAATAATTAAAAAAATATTCATTTAATAAAAATTTAAATAGTCTTATTAATTTCTAAATAATAAAATTATATCGATATATTACTTAATGGAATTATAAAAGAAATCATTCAGTGGGCAATCAAAAAAATTTATTTTTAGTTCAAGGGGATATTAAGGAGCCATTAAAATAATTTTTCTTATGCTTCAGGGGGATATTCAAAATTTTTAGGGGGCTTGAGACCCTGTGAGCCCACCCCCTAGCGACACCACTGATTTACGTCAAAAAAATTCAAAAAACTATATAACAATTATGACAATTGTCGCTTATTTTGGGTACATCTTCACTGAAACTTTATTTAAACATGTTAGCAATACTTATTTTAGCCCATTTACTTCAAAAAAAATCATAAAGTTATAAAATAACGATTATGACAATTGTCACTTTTCTATTACATCTTCATGAAATTTTAATTTAACATGTGTACAATCTATGTTTTTACCCATTTTCGTCAAAAATATTCAAAAAACTTTAAAAATAACGATTTTGACAATTGTCACTTATCTAGAATATGTTATTAATACTTATTTTGGTCCATTTACGTCAAAAAAAGTTTAGAAATAATGATTATGATAATTGACACATATATAGGGTACATCTTCAACTGAAGTTTTATTTAAACATTCTAGCAATACTACCCATTTTGCAAAAAAATTCAAAAATAAAAAATAACGATTATGACAACTGTCACTTATCTAGGGTACATTTTCACTGAAATTTTATTTAAACATGTTAGCAATATTTATTTTAGCCCATTTACGTCAAAGAAAGTTATAAAATAACGATTATGACAATTGTCACTTTTCTATGGTACATCTTCATGAAATTCTAATTTAACATGTTTACAATCTATATTTTTACCCATTTGAGTTAAAAAAAATACAAAAAACTTTAAAAATAACGATTTTGACAATTGTCACTTATCTAGGGTACATCTTCGCTAAAGGTTTATTTAAATATGTTATCAATACTTATTTTGGCCAATTTAAGTCAAAAAAAGTTTAAAAATAATGATTATGATAATTATCATATATCAAGGGTACATTTTCACTGAAGTTTTATTTAAACATACTAGCAATACTTTTTTAACCCATTTTGGTCAAAAAACTTTAAAAATAACGATTATGACAATTGTCACTTTTCAATGGTACATCTTAATGAAATTTGAATTTAGCATGTTTACAATCTATATTTTTACCCATTTGCGTTAAAAAAATTTAAAAAAGTTTAAAAATAATAATCATGATAATTGTCACTTATCCAGGGCACATCTTCACTGAAGTTTTATTTACACATACTAGCAATACTTATTTTAACCCATTTTGGTCAGAAAAATTCCAAAAACTTTAAAATAACGATTATGACAATTGTCACTTTCAATAATTTCCCCAATCCAATTTGCTTCATAATATGTTATAAGATTATATATGACCCTTTCATTATCTTGATAGAATGGTGTTTGCATCATCCATGGGAACAAATGCAAGAGAGAGCATTTGTTTAATTTTTATAGACCACTCATATCCTGCATCTTTATCTAAATAATGTGCTAATAATGTGCTAATAACTCGCCATCACTCTGTATATGTCTCCAAATCGCTTTAGTCATATTGAAAAAACACCCTCTTACAGTTATTGACGGAAATGAATGTGTAAAGGCATTTATTTCCGCCTGCTCAAAATCGATAATTACCGATATAGGACTTAGATTATTTTCTAATCTTTTTATCTCATCCAAGACCCTTAATCTGGGTTTTATTTGGTAATAGCGCAAAAATTGTGGATACAATCGTTTTATGATATAGGACATGGAGGGTCCAAAGTTGGTGAAAAATTAAGGGGGTTATCTTAAATGTGCCATCTGCATACCGACTGCTTTCCGCCATCACTGTATGGTTTTGGGCGGTGGCGAATATCAAAATTCTTGGCAGTTCCGGTTGCAAATGCTTGCTGTCATATTGAAGGAATGGCAACCCTGAACATGTTATTCTATAGATATCGGGCAAATATAGATCATAACTGTTCTTCGGGTAATGTAATGGAGAACCTATAAGCGATCTAGCCCGCTGAATGGTCCGCTTTATTGGCGCGATGGGTGGAAGGGCAGCATAAAGGAATGGGGAACCCCCTGCTAATGCAATGCTTATAATTTTTTGAGGTCGTCTTTTAATATTATTTTAGCATTCGGTTTTTAATATCTCAGTACCATCTAACACATGATTATGATTATCTATATGAAGAATTACTTCTTCATTTAATGTATGGCACCGCCCTTTGCAATGGATAGGTATACTTTCCAATAATTTATAAGACTCAACACATTTCCATATTGTATTTTGATTTATAGTTCTCTCTTTCCTGAATATGCATTAATCATGAACAAGTTGTTTTGACCCACATTCACTTATAAAATATTTTAAAGGCATTCTTAATTCTCAATTTATAATGATTAAATTATGGAAAAAAATTATAAAGATTAAATTATGGAAGGAAAAGAAAAAAAATAAAGTTTTTACTAACTTTTTAAGATTTTAAAATGCAAGAAAGGACAAAATTTCAAGATAAAATATCTATTTATTAATTTTTTGTCAATAGTTAGGCGAAAAAAATAAAAAATTAAAAAAAGGAAATTTGGATTTTATGTTTTTTAGAATGTAAACTTTTATTTTTATTGTTGAGAAAAATAATGATTGAATTCTTTAAAATTGTTAAACAAAAAGAGAAAATTCCAAAATAAAGTATAATATTTATTTTTTTGTTGTCTAAAATTAGGCGTGAAAGGGGATTTAAGATTTAACATAATAGTATTTATCAGGGGGGTATTTTGGGTCTATTTTTAAAAACGGTTGATTAAGATTGTAGCCAAAATAATATAAGATTAGAGATGAAAGTCAAATCTATCTTTTTCTTTCTTCCTTCTATGCGCAAAATCTCCAGGCTTAAATAATATTGGCTACATATCAACACACCTTATAATGTGGTAAATTGGTCCATTAAAGAAATAGGTATAAATATTAGTTAATTTTTTTCGATATTACACATTTAGTAAATGAAATTGAGATTTTTGTAAAAATAAATATGAAGACATAATTAATAATACCAACATTCAAAATGACTTCTATTATTACTTATATTTTTATGCTAAGTAATTTATAATAAATTGCAACTGTAATAGATACGCGCCGAATTGTCGCTGCGCCGTATTGACACCGCGCCGAATTGTCGTTGCGCCCAATTGTCGCTGCGCCGAATTGTCGCTGCGCTGAATTGTCGGCGCGCCGAATTGACGTGGAACCATTATTAAGTTATATAATATTATTTAAAATATTGCTCTAACCTTATTTATTCTTGAGATAATTGAAAATTAATGAAGTGAATTTTGTCAAAAATGTACCATTTTCCGCTCTTTAAACCTCCATGTCTTCGCGAGTAGGGGTGTAAGGAAGTAAAATTCATTTTTTTTCTTAATTGTATATAATACCAATACAAAATTTAAAAAGACGAATTATTTAAAAAATAATGTATTTATTTTATTTTTTCAATCTTAGATGCTTACAATTTATTATATCTATAACAGAAACCTGCCGGCTCGGGTACATGGGCCCGTTTTAATTATTTTAAAATATACCCGTACTGGGCCTAAAAAATGTTTTTTTGAAATATAAAGCCAGGTCTAGAAAATTTTTTTAAAAATATTCGGGCCATATATTTTAAAACCGTATTAGCTATAAAAATTTTAAAAAAAGTATTAAATTTTTAAAAAATCCTAGCCGATCTACCATATAAAATTGACTCTGTTAAATTTCTACTGCTGTCATTTTACCACGGATTGTATTTTACAACAGTCGTAGCCCTTGTAAAATGACTGCGTTGTAAAATGATTGCGTTGTAAAATGACTGCGTTGTAAAATGACTGCTGTCATATACTTCAGACTTCAAAAACATTGGCGGGCTTTTAAATATTTTGGGATTAAAATGACTGCGATTAATTTTACTGCTAAAAATTCTCGCTTCAAAAACATTGGGTCCCATTTTTTTCTAAGAAAATTGATGTTTGAAATTGGATTTAAAATTATTAATTAATATAACTAATATTAATTTCTAGCTTCAAAAACTTTACGGCCATGTTTTAATTGAATATTATTGGGATTAAAAGGACTGGAAATATTATTAATTTCTTTGCTTCAAAAAAATTGGCAGTCAAATTATATATTTGAAAACACACATTATAGCTCATTTTTCCTTTGCTTAAGCTTTAAAATACTAAGAGCTAAGAGATATTTTAAATCTAATAATTAAATACGACATACAAATATTTTATGCTATTTTAAATATTATTTTATTAAATTTAGTCTAAGTCTTTCTCTATTTCTAAGGTTAATTTAATAAAGGTAGTTGTTATTTTTAAGATTAATATCGAGAAAAGATTTCTTAACTGCTTAATTCATTATGTTAAATCAACCCTTCTATGTAAAAGAGCGGGGAGGTTCAAAAATGTTAGTAATATAATATCTCATCATGATAATTAAAAGAAAACTTTTAAAAACAAATTTAACTTATCACTACTCTAAGTATTTAAGAAAGTTAGAGTTATTTTTAGGGCGAAATTTTTACCTTTTTAAAAAAAAAGTAAGTATATTTAATGATTTTGGGTCTATAGTAATTTACTGCCCTATAGTAATTATAGCATTTCTTTTTTAAATCTGAGATTTCAGTTTTAATTATGAACAAATAAATAGACACTATAATTGATTTTTATTAGAATTAATTGAAACATAGTTAATAATTATTATTTGACTTAACTGAACAATGCAGTTTATAATTTTTATAAAAACTATAAAAGCTTATATGTAAAAATATAGCCAAAATTAGAGATCAAATTTATTTAAATATAAGAAGAATAATATTGATATATATGTGATATCACAAATTTGCCTAAAAATAGGTACAATATAAAAATTATTTATATGTGTAAAAAAAATAAAAACGGTTATAGTGCCGAGTTTTAATTTATATTTATTGCAAAATTGAGATCAATATAGATTTATTTTATATTATATTAATTGCTTAAAATTTAGTGATAAACCATGATATCACAAAAAAACTTTAAAATAGACATAATAATATTCAGAGACCAGCAGGCCAGGCCCTAAGCTTGGCCCAAGTATACATTATTAAAATATACCCAGGCCGGGCTTGAAATTTTTTTTTAAAAATACCCGGGCCGGGTCAGGCCGTAAATTTTTTGCAACATAAATTTATATTCGTCAATTAGATATGGTTATAATGATTATATATAGTTATTATAATGTTGGGTGAAAGTTAACACTACTAACACTCATAGTATCTATTACATAATATAATTATAGTTTTCCTGCCATGGAATAAATACGCAAAGGATAATAAGTATTAAATACATTAAATGTTATATTTTTTGTTAATTAAAATAGTTTTATTTTTTTTATAAATACAATTAAAAGTATATTGTTAAAATATTATTTACACAAATTTTTTATAGTATCAATTTGTAATATACTAAATATCTGTTTAGAATAAAAAAAAATATGAAAGTAGTGTTGATAAACGGCTCGTATTGAGCCGATTTTTAAAAACGGCTGACTCAGTATTTTATCCAGAAAAATATTACACAAGCCTGAAAATTTTATCTCACAAAGTAATATAGATCTTTTTAAATTAATATATTTTCTTTTTGTTGTTAATTAAAATATTATCTATTAAATAAACATAGGTAACTATATTTTTGTAAAAGTGGGCACAAATCATGATTGACATGAGAGGACTGTCATTGGCAGGGTCAGATGTCATGTGTGAAATCAAGATAGACCATAAGGTTGTTATAGCGCACATCAATAGATATCGTTGTTAAACTTGTTTATATAATTTTCAATTACTAGCCATCATAGAATCATGTAAATATATATTGTTTTTTCTTTATGTAAGTTTAATAAGATAATGTTGAGTATTAACCGATATTTTGTAATACAATTATAAATACATATAATGTATTAATAGATTGAATTCCATTATAAGGAAACAATATTAATTTCAATAATCCATCACGTTCCTAAATATAATATATTAATTGATTGTATTCCATTATAAGGAAACAACATTAATCACAAATCTCTTCCCAAATAAAATATATATAATTGATTGTATTCTATTATAAGGAAACAATAATAACTACAAATCCCATTTTTCCCTTTCCCATTATCTATTAATTGATTGTATTTTATTATAAGGAAACATACAATAATTCCATCCCTAAAATAATGTTATAATTTATTTTACGGAAATAACAATCAATCCTTTTATCAAATATAATAAATTAACTAATCATTTTTGTAATATATATACCTTAAAATTTGTTATATTCATCTAATTTTATTTTTTACAATTCAGACTTACCCGTAGGTATAGCCGTTGATGCATATAAACGGGGCTTAGGAGCTACCATATTTCATATAGAAGGAGACGGCAAAGAAAAGTCTATAGCTTTTACCTCAAGATCGTTATTAAAATCTTAAAGAAACTATACCAACATCGAACGCGAGGCGTTAGCAATCATTTTTGCGATAAAAAGATTCCAGGAGTATCTGATCAGAACAAAATTTTTAATTATCACTGATCATAAGTCTTTAATTCACATTTTTTCCAAAGGTTTAGAAAGAGAATTAATGGAAATAATAAACGATATAAATTAGTAACGGTGATACAATAAAAAATGAAATATATAATAATATGATGACGGAATTGTGTATTATGGGAAATTGTCTATTGAATGAATATAAAACTATTATACCAAAAGTTTTAAGAAGTCACGACGAAGCCATTCGAAAAAATACACCATGACTATGCTGGGTTAACAGATACTGCTTTATTATAGAAAACGAATATAGTAGGTTTCGCTGGTTAAATCAAATCACAATCAAAGAATTAATGAAAACGATGAGCTTATTTGGCATTCCAGAACAAATAGTCACGGACAATGGCTCAAATTTTTCCAGTCAATTGTTTAAAAAATTTTGTGGAGACCACAATATACATCACTTTCTAACTCCAGCCCACCATCAGTAGTCCAATGGGCAAGTCGAAAGGATGTTCAAAACTTTAAAAACACACATGAAAAGATACATGGAACAGAATAATATAGACTGAGATATCGTTCTTGAAAATCTTTTAGTCAATTACAAAATTATACCTAACTACACGACAGGTATTCCTCCAAGAAAACTAATGTATAATCACGACATGAGAACCAAATGGGATTTATTAAAATATAAAAAAGGCAACGAAAATATTTTGCTCACGACTTTACCGAAAAACAGAACTATGGATATAGGAGACACAATTTACAAAATATTTTAAGTGAGCAAATGGGACGAAGGCATTATCATAAACAAAGAAAGCATGCTATATAAAATAAACACAAAAAATGGGGTATTAAGGAGACATTTAGATCAACTTAAAAAAGATTTACTACCGATAAAATTATCACGTATGAACAGAACACCTCACCTATGGTAACATTTTACAAGAGGGGAAATATAAAACACAGAGAAAAATTGCCTAATTCGATGCCAATTAGAAAGAAAACATTACCCGTACGGTATGATAAGATATATCATAAACACATAAAATTCACAACAATTAAAATCAATACACAAAACATAAAAATAAAAAAATATTATTTGGATAAATATTTGAATAAATATTTGAATAAAAATCATTATTTAGCAGAATATTGATCTATCAAGATTTAAAGACATCATGGAAAATGATGAAGAAATTTAACGACATCATAGGATATTAAGAATAATGGATTGCAAGTTGAATAACACTATCATAAAAAATAAAAGCCATATATGGTTACGATATTTTTTTTTTGAGTAAAGAATGTTGATTTAAATTAAATTTTTAAATAAAGAAAAAAAATCTTAACTTAAATTCGTTATACAACCTTCGAGCTAAAAGTATTTTTTAGTTTTTGTTATATTAATTTATTTTGTAAATAATTTTATATTAATGCATTCAAATTAACTAATCATTTTTGTTATATGTATATATACTTATCATCTAATTTTATTTTTTATAGTGCTGTACGACACTTTGTTACACTACGATTACATCTCATTTTATTTTATGTATTTAAATTTTTAATAAATGTAAATATTTTACAACAGAAGAGTATAAATATCATTGTTATAACTTGCAATTATGTTGCTATTCACTAGTGTTGTTAAAAAGTCGAGTTCATCCGACTCCGACTCAGAGTCTCGAGTCGTTAGTCAAATATGTCGACTAACTCAAACTCAAGTCGTGAACTCGAGTCGTGAACTTAAGTCGACTCGAGTCGTGAACTCAAGTCGACCCAAGTCGTGAACTCAAGTCGTGAACTCAAGTTCATAAAATATTCGTACTCTAGTCGACTAGAGGACGAAT